CCACTACCGCTACCGACAGACGACATCATGGACTTGCTAAACATTTGCCTAACGTCTACTTACTTTCAGTACAACGGTAAACACTACAAACAGTTACACGGCACTGCCATGGGGTCTCCAGTTTCTGTTGTTATAGCAGAAATTGTGATGCAGAACATCGAGGAACGCGCCCTTTCGACTTGCCGACAAACGATACCGCTTTGGTTACGTTACGTTGACGACACATTCACCGCCGTTCGACACGACGAAATTGACGCATTCCACAACCACCTTAACGAACAAAACACTGACATACAGTTTACCAGAGAAGTCGAAGAAAATGGCAAACTTCCTTTTCTAGACTGCCTGGTAAGCCACAACGACAACTCATTACGAACGACAGTTTACAGGAAACCGACACACACCGACAGATTACTAGACGAGTCATCCTACAACCCTACATCACACAAAGCCACAACTATCAGAACTCTAACACGACGCGCACAACTAGTATGTGACTCGACAGACAGCTTATCCGACGAGAACAAATACCTTCACCGTGTTTTTACGAAGAACAACTACAACAACGACTTCATCCGACGAAACACTCACCGACCCACTACCACTACCGAAACAAACGACACCGCAACCCCTACGACTACAGCAACCATACCGTACATAAAAGGCATGTCTGAAAACATCTCGCGCATCTTACTACCCTTCAATATCCGCGTCGCCCACAAACCCATCACCACACTACGTCAGTTACTAACCAACGTTAAAGACAAAGACGAACCGAGGAACAGACAGGGAACGATTTATAAGATCAATTGTTCCGACTGCCAAGCCTCCTACATCGGTGAGACTGGCAGAAACCTCACAACAAGACTGACTGAACACAGACGGGCGACGAGGAAAGGTGATGTCAGCAATCACATTGCTGAACACCATCGACTTACCAACCACAACATTGACTGGGACTCTGCGCAATGCCTAACCTACAGCACTGACTATTTTCAACGACTGACTCTGGAAAGCTGGTTTACTAACTTAGAACAGACTCCCCTAAACAGATGTCAACAACTACCCGCTCCATACAAACGACTCATTCACGACATAAACATCACAAACGACCGAAAAAGAACGACCTAACTTTACCGACAGATCGAAACAGACCAATCACGACCGACTTACGTCACTTGAGTCTTACAGCCAATAACATCACGGCAAAACCAACCGATCATTTCACACGAACTGGAATAAGAACATTCTACTGACAACAATCATTCACTTGACTCTGATGATGACTTCCGCACAGGTTGTCGAAACGTCAGTCACTACCACCGACAACAGTCCTTCTCAGGACTACACTCACCCGGATGATCAGACTACACCTCCTATTTTAGTTAGTCTGAATAGAACTATCATGGGAAAGAAGTTGGAATTTTGCGCTGAGCCGAGATAAAAAGTTGCATGGTTACGGTCATGGCGACAGGGGCAAAGTAAGCGTCAAACTTAAAAATTATTTTGGGCGTCAAAAACCGTTAAAAAAGAAAAACTTACGTAATTTATTCTCTCAAAGGATCGATCTAAATATCCGAAGAAAAACAAATTCCTCCAACATGAGTTTTGTGAAAAGATGAGTAATTCAGTCTGTGCCATTTTTGATGATCGGCGCTGTTAAAAACGGGCCTTCGAGCGCTGAAGCAATTTTCTTTCGGAAAAAAATCATTTTACATTATTTCGAAAAACCAAGGTGATTTCGTTTACTTTTAGACTAGGACAAATTCATGGGGAAAGTTTGAAAGAATCGATTTTTTTTAACCAAAACGGATCGGACTGCTTTTACAAAAACTGCTGCTTTTGTCTTCCTTGATACTCTCTTTCTTGGCTAGGTAAGGCTTTTCCTGGTCTTGAGTCTAATGCATTGCCAATGGAGTGCCAAAATGCCTGCGTTGACCACAAAAGGCACGCGTAGTACGGGCCCATATTGCAATTTGCTGCGAATGGCTTTAAAATTAATCATGCAAGTGTGTCAATCGCGATTGAAGTAAATACTGTGGTTATACTAACCCGTACCATCAGGAAGTTCCGTTACGACTGAAGACTCCGATCCTTGTTCTGGTGGTGGTTCTCTATCAAGTGTTAAAGACGTTCCTAGCCCCTCCACTCTAAAACTAAATGCAAGTGACCATGTGAAAATTAATCACAAAATTAAGGTTATTAATAAGATGAACCTCGTTTGATCCACTGCAGATCATGGTCGACAACCGCAGAATACATATGAATAAATGCCAAATGCAAGTAGTTGTGCCGAAAGCGTTGCATCATTGATCCCACAAAAAATGTTTGAAAAGGATGATGTTGTACTAAATTAACGAACCTCATCAGGAGATATACTAACAAGAACTTGGCAAAGTAACGTTTTTTCATTGTTGTGGACATTTTATATTGTTTTTGTCCTTTTCTTCCTCACATATTTCGGTATGATGGTCATGGAGTTATTTATGTAAACTAGAAGGACCGTGGAATTCGCGGAAGCAGTCTTAGAGAGCACAAATACATGCGAAGCAAGATTTCAGAATTTTAGCCAAAATATCGTAGTTGTTCTGTTACCTTTCAAAATACGTGTCTGACATTCTTTCTTCTGCGGTTAATCCCTGCACATCCACGCCTAAGGAGGATGTTTCTAACCTGAAAAATATGCTACTTTTCAACAATTTCTCACAGGTAGGATATAATCCAAAAGTATATCAGACTTTGTATCTCTAGAAAGCTTACGATTAGCAATAAAATGTTTCATACTTTACAAGCCAACTGTAACAAAACATATAGGGGGAGGAGGGGGGAAGAGAATCAAGGCAACTTTAATGTAAACATAATCTCTTGATCATTCAGAGCCACTGACCATAGATATCGAGAATCTACCGACAGTTACAAGGTCTCGTTATTCATTTCATTTTCCTAAAGAATCTTTTTGATGAATTTTTTCAAAAATTATATCAAAAGTTTTATTGCTCTTCAATTTTTCCAAAAAATTGAAAAGTTCAGTATACGCCTAAATGGCAGTTGTCCCCCCGCCACCCCCCCTCCCCTGTAAATAAATAAAAAATTGTGCAACTTCGGCAACTTCGTACACCGCAACGCAATGCAATCCCACTTTTAAATTTTGTGTGCTAGCAGACGGTCCTTTCATCTCGCTTAAAATCTAAAATTCTTGTTATGTTGTTACGTTCAAGTCTGAATAGTGACCCGTTGAAATAATGTAGTTTGTAGCTTTTTCGCAAAGATAAATAAAGGTCAACTTAAATGGCCAATAAAAAGGCATGCCATATACATTTGCAGATCATGATATACATCATCTTTTACTTAAATTCCTCCAATAACTATCTTTATTACATCGCTCGCAGCATCCGTGGGCAAGATAAAGCGAATCCTGTCTTCTGATTGGCTACCAGAGCGGGCAAGATGGGCTCATCTTGCCCGCTCAGGATTGCCCACATTGATCCCGTGCGTGAAAAAAATACAATTAGAACTACGTTTGTAATTCTTGTACAATTTCAGCGATGGAAACACAAAAAAAGGTAGAAGACAGTCAAAACAAAGAAAACAGAAACCACTCTCGGGAGTTTGTCGTGCTACACACACTGTTGGCTTTCTTTCGTGGCTCTCGAAGGAGACAAGTCATTCGTAATTCTTATTAAAGCAAAATATTTTTGCGATATAATGAATCCTTTTTTAATCAGGCTTGTTCGCTCAAGATGATGATATCAGCCTCGTTCTTTTTTCCCATTTTTATGGACCTTGATTTCGTCTCGGTCCATAAAAATGCAAAAAAAAAAAAAAAACGCGGCGAATATCAAGCCATCTTAACCTCACGCTTGGTTAATAACCCATATATCTTGACCCACTTTAAGCGGCACGTCCAGGTTGGAAAGAGTTCGGGCTATTATGACAAATATACAATGCGAACCGCTGAGCAGCTGTCATGGTCTGTTTTATTATCTAGAGAAAGTTCGGTTATAAATATTTACAAATCAAAATATTCATCATCCTAAAGCTTTATCCTCACGTTACATCGGGGTATATGTGGCATAAATTTTACTGTAACATATATAACGGTTTAATTTGCTAAATCGAGGTTCCACTATGACTTCTTGCGTGATAGCCGTTCAAAGGATCGCACTGCATTTTTTGTCCTATTTCAACCTGAACCTGGACGCACCACTTATGGCGGGCCAAGAGAGAAACTTTGAGGAATTAAACTACAAGGATAAAGCTATAAGATGACATATATTTTTATTCGTAAATACATATACCAGACCTTTCTTTAGACCTTTTAATAGGCCGTGAGAGGCGTTCAGCGGTTCACATTGCATTTCTGACATAATTGCCCGAGCTCTTTCCATGGGCCAAGATAGACAATTGAAGGAATTAAACAACATGGATAGGGCTTAAACATGATGTACATTATGATCTGTAAATATGTATGGTAGACCTCTACAAAAGCCACTGAAGTTGACCCTTATGTTACCTTTGTGAAAAAGATACAAAGTGCACAATTTCAACGGGTCACTAGTCAGACTTAAACTACGATCAACATAACCGTAAATACTAAAACATGGAATGACCTAAGTCCACCTAGAACCACCTTCAAAGTACTGTTTTTGTCATTGAGTCATTTTTGTGATAATGTTGTTGACGAATGTAAAATGCACACGGGAAATGTTGTCTTGTTTCGCGAGTTCCCATTTTAAGTATAGAAGTCATTTTGCAGAGCGATATTCTGAAAACCCTTACTACTCTCGAATAATCAATGCACAGCAAATAAAAGATTGTTCTCTACTCTCATAGATTACGTTTTAAGTTTGAAAATTGGTGGATGGGAACCTTTTGAAAGGTTGTAGTCGAAATTTCGTTCAAAAATGGCTCCAAAAATGGAGTTAGCCATTGTCTTTAGCCTAGCCATGAATAACAACGCACCTGTCAAACTAAACAATGCCCATCGTTGAAACTCATTCGCTTGTAGAATTATTCACAGCTGCCGCGAATTTTAAAACGGCTAAGTGCATTAGCTGTCAAAGCCTCATTTAAGTTAAGTCATGATGGCGTGCGTCGACCAACAATCTATATGCAATCGGGAGCTCTTTTCAGAGCTCACTCAATCCCCGATCGCCCGGCAATCTATATGCGATCGGGAGCTCTTTTCAGAGCTTAATTTATCCTTGTTCACCCGGCAATCTGTTTGCGATTGTGAGCTCATTTCAGAGCTTACTAAAGCCTCGATCGTCTAACAAACTGTCAGCTCTTTTCAGCTCTTTTCAGAATGCTCTCTGGGATTCTAAGCTTCTCGAAGCGAAGAATCCTAAGAGCACTACATAACGGGGGGCTTACGAGCCTTTCACCACGGTCGAAAAAGGCGTAATCGGATGAAGTCAGATGCCTTGCGTAGACGGCGGGAATAAATACCGGTAAATAAGGTTCGGCTTGTGAACAAGTGTTTAAGCATCATCATCATAGTTTATTTAATAAAGCAGGTTGAGGGATAGGCAAGACATTACGTCCTGATGTGGACCTGCACCAATTAAACTATCAATTAATAAAAACCTAATTAGTGAATAAACCGAAAATGGGTATGTAAATAATGGCAATTGAAAGAAATAAATATTAATAACAATACGGATTAAATTTTAAAAGTATTCAAAGTTAACAGATTTGTTGGACACGCTGCAGGAAGCTTTAGCAAAACTGATAGATTTCAGAATTCTCTTATTTTCCCTGAGTTTTCTCTTGAAAGAAGTTAAGTTTGAACAGTTCTTGATGTCTTCAGGAAGGAGGTTCCAGGATACTGCAGCTCTGTGCTTAAACGAAGACCTTCCCATTTCTGTTCTTGGTCTATGAACCTTAACTTTTAAGGATTTTCTCAAGTCATAAGGAGTCTCGGATTTCACTATTAAGTCATTTAGAGGCTCGATGCTATTTCCATGATAGATATTGTAGGTAATAACTAAAAGTCTCCTAATGTAAAATGAAACAATAGAGTTCCAGTGTGGAGCGTTCATGATGTCATCAATCTGGATGCTATGGGGTAGGTTGTAAATTATTCTAGTAGCTCTTAAATGAATTCGATCAATATCATCCGTCAAGGCTGAAGAACAAGACCCCCAGACTACAAAGCCATACAAAACGCTAGGGATAATAGTTTTATAATAAATGTTTTCTAAGGTTGGTATCGGTAAAAACTTTATCCGATTCAGTACTGCGACTTTGTTGCTGAATGACTTAAACGTTCTCTATGTGCTCCTGCCATAATAGCTTGCTGTCAATTGTCACCCCAAGACATTTAGATGATGATTTGTACTCAATAAAGCTATTACCAAAGGTCAAACGTGGCAAGGGGCCAATAAAGTTCTGGCTAGAAATTATCAGGGCTTCAGATTTCGATTCATTGGCAATTAATCTGTTAGATTGACACGAGGTGTACAGCTGGTCTAGTACAGAATGGAGTGTTAAGATGATATCGTCGATGTTGTTTCCAATTGTAAAAATAGTGGTATCATCGGCAAACATAAATAATTGACCACTAGTTATTGATTCTGGAAGATCGTTTACAAATATTGAAAATAATTTGGGCCCTAGTATTGAGCCTTGGGGAACTCCATGTGTGATGGTTTTGGGCTCGGACTGATATCCTGATATTTGGACAAATTGCTTACGTGCAGACATTAATCGGTAAGCCACGAAAGCAAATCGCCAGATATCCCAATGGCCTTTAGCTTCTCTAGAGAGATGGTATGGTTCACTGTGTCGAATGCTTTTCGAAAGTCAATAAAAAGTACGCCCACTTTCAGGCCCTTGTCTAGCGCATTTTTCCAGGTCTCTGTTAGGTAAAGTAAGAGGCTTTCGTTGAATAATTTTTCCGAAAACCCCACTGTCTATGAGATAACAAGCCTTGTGTGTCCAAATGGTTGTTCAAGGTATCACTGACAACGTATTCTAAGATTTTCCCAGGGATACTGAGGAGGGAGATAGGTCTGTAGTTGTTCACTTCTGTTGGTGAGCCTTTCTTAAATATGGGGTTAACACGTGATAATTTCCAGCTTGAAGGGAAAGATGCATCACATATACTCTTCCTGAAGATTGGTAAAAGACTGTGAATAACGGGGTCACCAATCATGGAGAGGACCCTGGGGGATACTTGGTCTGGACCAGTAGCCTTCTTGGGGCTAGCAGCTTTAATCAGTTTGTTTTTTACCAGTTCCCAGCTTATGTCAGTTTTGTCCCTGGTAGGAGTGACTCTTGTGATAAACGTGTTTATAGATGACAAGTTCAAAGGGTCAAGTTGCTTAGTGAGATCTTTGCTGACATTCACAAAAAAGTCATTAAAATACTCTGTCTTCTCTAAGTCATGGGTTATTATCTCCTCGTTGTGATCATAGATTGGACCGATGTTTTTAACTTTATGTTTCCTCAAGATTTGGTTGGTCAATTTCCAAAATTCATTAGAATCAGTAGCTTCATTGAATAATTTTTGCCAATAATCAGCTTCAGCACTCCTTAGTAGCTTCTTAACCTCATATCGCTTCTGTTTGTAGAGACTCCATATTTCGGGGTCGCCTGTTGACTTTGCCTTTTTAAGGAGCTTGTATCTTTTGTTCATTTCTTTCCTGATGGAGGTGTTGATCCAAGGAAGA